GAATCTTTTAGTACTATCAATAAAGCCATTTTCAAAGAAGAAGATGACGTTAAAATTTTCAAGAAATGTATTATTCCGGAACATCATCTTTTGCAAAGATTTGTTAATAATTTATTTTTTAAAGGACTTGTACCACTGTTAGCCAAGAAAACGCATTAAAATGGCCTAAACAGCTACACTTAGTCACGAAAAGTTATAAAGGAGAACTTTTTGAAGGGAATGCCTGCAGAAAGTTGTTGAAAAATGCAGAAGATTTAGTTAAAAGAGATATTAGTCAACCTGGAAGAAGTTTGTGTTATACCCTTTGTTGTGGCTTTCAACACAATGAATCGTATTGTTGTGTTTTGGTTCAGAGCTGCTTTGTACCTTAAGTGAAAGTCTGACGTGTCACTTTTGAAAGCAGTTTTAAAGGGCACAGGAGTCTCGCAGACCCTTTGGAGCATCTTGTAGAAACGGTCCAATTTTTGAAAACTTGGTTGGGTCTGTGGTCGGAACAAGCTGGTGAGTCTGTTCATAGAGAATTTTCCTTAATTTGGAAGAAATACAAAATCAATGATATAAATGACCTGCGATACGGACAGTAGTGTTATACAGAATTTTTGCTCTTGTTTGAAATTGTTTTAAGGTTTAATTAATTTTTTTATTATTTTAAGTGTAATAAATTTGATATATTTTGATTTTGTTAAAGACTGTCAAGTATAGTGCACTGTATTTGATATATTTTTTAATTTTCGTATTATTATCTACAAGTATAAACCGATACATATAAATACAATAAACCGATTTTGTCTCCATTTAATTGAATTTTATAAATATACTTAAAAAAATAAAAAAATATCTAAAGAGCTAAAAATCTTTCAAGAAGGATCAGCTGCGATTTAGGTGACTAGTGGTATGTAATGAGGGGATGGTCCACTATAATCAACAACAAAAAAATTTCGGTGGTCTTTTCAAAAAACTTAAACTTTACAGAGGCGCACTGTGTATAATTGTCATATTATAATGTCAACTGACATCAGTCAGTTTTAAAGTTTAAAGATGAATGAAATTGAGGAAGCAGCTGAAAAGGCGAAAAATTGCGGCCTGCTGCCGGAAAAATCAAAATGTTTATACGAAAAAACTTACTTCGAATATATCAAATGGTGTAACATTGTTGTTTTTAATTTTTGACGTTTCATTATAGCCCGCTGGGTCATAATAACGCCCGCGGGCTATAAAAAGACGTTTACGTCAAAGAATTTTTGTTATAATTGTCATATTATAATGTCATCGTGCATAATAGTTATTTATGTATTAAGGGCATAATAAGGTTTTTATGGTCCGAGGCGCTATTTCGAGCCCGAGCGCGTTAGCGCGAGGGCTAGAAAAGCGTCGTAGGACCATAAAAACCAGTTATGCCAGCAATGCATACAAAACTTTATGCACGATTAATATATTATTATTTTTAATATATTATTGTTTTTAAAGACGTTTACGTCAAAGAATTTTTGTTATAATTGTCATATTATAATGACAACTGACATCAGTCAGTTTTAAAGTTTAAAGATGAATGAAATTGAGGAAGCAGCTGAAAAGGCGAAAAATTGCGGCCTGCTGCCGGAAAAATCAAAATCTTTATACGAAAAAACTTACTTCGAATATATCAAAAGGTGTAACATTGTTGTTTTTAATTTTTGACGTTTCATTATAGCCCGCTGGGTGATAATAACGCCCGCGGGCTATAAAAAGACATTTACGTCAAAGAATTTTTGTTATAATTGTCATATTATAATGTCATCGTGCATAATAGTTATTTATGTATTAAGGGCATAATAAGGTTTTTATGGTCCGAGGCGCTATTTCGAGCCCGAGCGCGTTAGCGCGAGGGCTAGAAAAGCGTCGTAGGACCATAAAAACCAGTTATGCCAGCAATGCATACAAAACTTTATGCACGATTAATATATTATTATTTTTAATATATTATTGTTTTTAAAGACGTTAACGTCGAAGAATTTTTGTTATAATTGTCATATTATAATGTCAACTGACATCAGTCAGTTTTAAAGTTTAAAGATGAATGAAATTGAGGAAGCAGCTAAAAAGGCGAAAATTGCGGCCTGCTGCCGGAAAAATCAAAATCTTTATACGAAAAAACTTACTTCGAATATATCAAAAGGTGTAACATTGTTGTTTTTAATTTTTGACGTTTCATTATAGCCTGCTGGGTGATAATAACGCCCGCGGGCTATAAAAATACATTTACGTCAAAGAATTTTTGTTATAATTGTCATATTATAATGTCATCGTGCATAAACGTAATTTACATTCATTATTCGTAGTCGTAGTAGATAGATAGATAGATATAAATTTACATAAATATTTACAAATTTTAACTTACTTTAAAATATTGAAAATAATTGGCATACGTTCTTAGCCTTCTACTAAAACATCATTAATAATAAACCAGTTTAGGATAGTTTAGTTCAAGCGAAATTTAAAAAATGGACACTATAGATTTAATAGTTGAAATGTTAATGGCTGAAGCACAACTCCACAATGTAAGTAGGTATCTATATATTTTTGTCTACTTTCACCTTTAAAAGACCTATTATTGTACTCGAATTTTTTCTTGGTTTTATTTTTACTGAGATAGCCTATACGGACAACCAATTTGGGACACCCTGTACATGTTTCCAAGACACTAAGTGATCTTTTAAATACAAATTTAGCGTTTTAGTCAGGGGCAACAGCATTTTAGTTAAGGGTTGAAGTTACCCAGATAAAAACCGTGAGGCGCCTTCACGTCGTGCGAAATCATGCGTGACGCTAAAAACGATGCGATATGATATTCATTTTATGATTAATGGGAATACACGCACGTGATTGTTATAGAAGGGCACCAAATGATTGCAAACTTTTCACTTTTTCTGAATAGTTATCTCAAAATTGTAGATGTAATACTAGATCTACACTACATCTTGTAAAATTGCTGATTTTTCATCATATTATAACTAAAATTTTCAAAAAATTGACTTACACCATATGGTTAATTTGTGAAAAGACTGGATTTGTAAAGACTACATTTGTATAAAAAGATCACGTTTATAAATTAATTTATCATTAATTTATTTATGAATTTGTTAGAAGATACCTTATTTTAATTAAAATAAGATATCATTCTATAAATGTAGAAAATTGTCACAAAAAAAAATAAATGACAAAGAAAAAGATCTTTTGGATTATTGCTTATTGACCAAAATTTTACAATAAATAAATTTTATCCATCACATGTGCTGGCTATATGAACCTCAATTGATGACGCAAATGGTGCATATATGTAACGTATGTGCGGATTAAGAATCACGTTGTGACTACAATATGCGTAAATTATGAACCTGGCAATGTTTCTCCAACCATCACATTTGCTGGCTATATGAACCTCAATTGATGACGCAAATTATGCATATATTTATATATATACGTGCGGATTACAATCACGTTGTGACTGCAATATGTCAGTTATGAAGCTCATAATGTTATCTAGGTAGTTTTATGTTACTTGACAGTGGTCAAATGACATCGTTAAAATAAAGTGCCCTTATTTTTAAATAAAACTAAATGTAAAAATTATTTTTTCTACTCTTACCTTTAAAACGACCATTATCGTACATGATTTCATGACACTAAGTGACCTTTTAAATTCACATTGACAAGTTGTGGCTTTACGGCGTTTTAGTCACTGGCTGAAGCTAGCCACAGGTTTTTAGTCACGGGCTGAAGTTAGTTTTAAGTTAGTTGACAGTTGTCAAATGTCATACAATCGTTAAAATAAAGTGCCTTTCTTGTAAAATAATACTAAATGTGAAAATTATTATATCAATACAAAAATACAAAAGTATTAAATAGTTTCTCAACGCCAATATTTGAAAAGTTTAAATGAACATTGTACTGACCTTTTAATTTCACCGGCTGTAAACTATAACTAAAATTCGGGCACGGACTCCACTGTAAAGTGCTCATAAAACATTTTCTTTACTTTCACTGTAAAAAACTGTCCATTTTCAAGAAATACATTTCGATTTATAATCTGTGTTTATAAACTATACAAATTTAACATTTGATGGTGACACACAGATTCCCCTATCGTTTCATAGATGGCGCTCTATAAAAATATTTGATTTAAATCATTTTAAGATAATAATAAGTATTTGTCGTAGAAAAAGAATAGTATGCACCTCGTTTATAAACTTTTCTATACACTCATTAATTTAAGAACTCGCTCGCAAGCTCGCTCGAGCCTAAATTAAATTCGTGTATAAAATGGCGTTTATCAAACTTGATACATAATATACTATTATTATCTCAATATAAAAATACAACAGTATTAAACAGTTTCTCAACGCCAGTATTTAAAAAGTTTATATGAACATTGTGCTGACATTTAAATTTCGCCGGCAGTAAACTAGATTTAACTTAATTTCGGGTTGATACTCCACCGTGGTGTACTCATAAAACATTTTCTTCACTTTCACTGTAATACACTGTTTTTAGTTCATTTTCAAGGGATACATTTCGATTTACACATTAAAATTTGACATTTTCACCGGTGCGCCCTTGCAATACAGATTCCCTAAAATGGTTACTCTATTGTTTTATAGATGTCGCTCTATTAAAATATTTCATTTAAATCATTTTGAGTATTTGTCGTAGAAAAAGTATAGTATGCAAGACGTTTATAAACTTTTCTAGACACTGATTTAGTTAAACACTCACTCGCAAGCTCTATCGTGCCTAATTATAAAATTCGTGACTGAAATGGCGTTTATCAAACTTGCTACTTAATATATTATTTGAATGTTATAATTATATTCTACATAAAACTAAAATACATTTTCCAATTAAAAAATTCTTTACTAAAATAAAGGCTTATCAGTAAATTATAATTAAAAATTGCAATACCTATTCTACAAGGCATTGAAAATATTAAAATTTTTACTGTATTTATAAACATTATCAGATAAGTTTTCCTTTATTGGCGTATTGAGGTTTAATCTGTTTGAAAAAATAGATTTTTGTGCTTGTTTGTCGTGTTGTAGAAAATAATTTTTAGCTTATAATGAAGTTTGAATTTGCGCGTATTGTATAGTTAAAATAATGGAAGAAATTGAGCTGGGAAATGTAAGTTATTATACGTATTTACATAAACATCCATAAAAATATCAATGCATTTTAAAGTAGGTATAAAAAACTACACTTTGTTAATTGGATTGGGATAATAATAAAATTAGTATCCATACTGGGCCAGTATTACTGGTAAAAATAACATTAAAAAAATAGATTTAGCACATGGTTTTTACTGTATCACCTACAGAAAAGTTTACCTAATACATGTATACGGGGCAATCCATGCCAAATCACCGAGGTTTTGACCCGACCCCCTTCGATTTCGCTGAAACTTTTTTATCATTTTCTATCCTACCAAAGACATTTTTCTGAATTTTTTCAGATTTTTTTACCCAACCCAAAAAAAGTTACGAATTTTTGAAAAAAACCGCTCTTGTATTTTAAAATTGCAATAACTTTTTCACAAATTGACCTTTCGGCACGTTTTTTTTTTTTTTGAAATTTTTGTTTTTAAATGTAGTTTTCAGAAAAAAATACAAACAATTTTTCGGAAGTCACGATATATGAAATATTTCAGTTTTTTCAATAAAACCGTCATTTTTTCGAATTCTGAAACCTTCGATTCTCAATTTTTTTGTCTAAAAAAAAACTTCAACTAAGACAGTATTTAACCCCACTATTCCCATTTTGTGCCGACTTTCCATTCTATTGTTTTTTTTTTCGATTGAAAATAAAGAAATTTCTCAATTTGGCTTATTTTTTATGCCTTTGCGTTGAGGTTTTTTTTATTGTTTTTAAAAGCTCAGAACTTGAATAAAATTGGATAAAAACAACCGTAAATTTTTTATTAAAGTATTGTTTTTACATCGTTAAAAATCTAAATATTTTAATTATTTTCCTCGGTTTAGCGATTGTTGTGTCTTAAGGAATGAACTTATGTTAAAGAATGAACTTGCATTAAAGAAGGTACGGAAGGTAATGGTAATAAAAAAACATAAAGAAAGTACGAAAGGTTATGGTGGATGTTCAGTGACTGATGGTAATGAACTTGTGTTAAAGAATGAATTTGTGTTAGATATTAAATTATAAAGAAAGACGATTATAATCACATTCAAATATATGTTTTTTAAAGTAGGTATACTTGACGTTTCGTTGTTTTTTATTTAAAAGAGGTGGTAAAATAATAAAAATGTGAATTTTTTAAAAAATAACACTTTTTATAAACTAATGTTTTGATATTTTTTTAAACTGTGAATTAGACTATTTTGTTTCTTAAAAAGAGTTTACGTTTACGTACATTGTACGGTTAAGAATTCAAGAAAACAATCGCTAAACCGAGGAAAATAATTAAAATATTTAGATTTTTAACGATGTAAAAACAATACTTTAATAAAAAATGTACGGTTGTTTTTATCCAATTTTATTCAACTTCTGAGCTTTTAAAAACAATAAAAAAAACCTCAACGCAAAGTCATAAAAAATAAGCCAAATTGAGAAATTTCTTTATTTTCAATCGAAAAAAAAAACAATAGAATGGAAAGTCGGCACAAAATGGGAATAGTGGGGTTAAATACTGTCTTAGTTGAAGTTTTTTTTTAGACAAAAAAATTGAGAATCGAAGGTTTCAGAATTCGAAAAAATGACGGTTTTATTGAAAAAAACTGAAATATTTCATATATCGTGCCTTCCGAAAAATTGTTTGTATTTTTTTCTGAAAACTACATTTAAAAACAAAAATTTCAAAAAAAAAAACGTGCCGAAAGGTCAATTTGTGAAAAAGTTATTGCAATTTTAAAATACAAGAGCGGTTTTTTTCAAAAATTCGTAACTTTTTTTGGGTTGGGTAAAAAAATCTGAAAAAATTCAGAAAAATGTCTTTGGTAGGATAGAAAATGATAAAAAAGTTTCAGCGAAATCGAAGGGGGTCGGGTCAAAACCTCGGTGATTTGGCATGGATTGTCCCTGATCTCTTTTTTTTTTAATTTTTAAGTGCCGGTTTTTTATTAAATAACTGACTGACATTGAGTTAATAGAATAATGAGCCAGATCACGTCAAGTGGACCCCCCATTTTCCACTTGGTAATAAAATTTAAATTTTAATACATCAATCGTTAGTTGTCATTAGTAACTATATTCCTTTAATAGTTATTTATGTATCAAGGCAGTAAAGTCGTATTTTTTATCATGAATGTGGAAATTAATAACCACGTGAGTGATAAAAAATGACTTTAATGCCTAGGTGCATATTAAATTTTATTCGAAATCACATTTAATAATAATAATAATTAATATTGCTGATTAAATCAAATGTCATTTGAATGTAGGAAGTGTCTAAGTGTACTGTTTGTTGCGACGATTATTATATATTTTCCCGCCGCGGCGGCGATTTTTTAATCTAGGTAATTAATAAAATCATCGACGGTGCTTTTTTTAATATTATTTAATTGCTGCTGAGGAGCAGTATACACATCTTAAAATGTATAATTGGTTGCATACAATACTCGTATTAAATCGGCAGTAAAGTTCTACTTTACTGCCGATTTCTTTTACTCAGAGTTTTTTTATAACAAAGATTTTTTTCACTTTTAATTAAAAATTAATTGTGAAAAAACTGTTGACAGTCGCGTAGTGAAATTTTCAGGACTAATAGGCTTATATGTGTATTTTTATAAACAAATAAAAAAAAATAAAATTTTTTTAATTCTTTTTTTGATCTTTGAAATATACAATTAAAATTATTGATATGTCTTTTTCAAATAATCAAGTTTTTGGTTACATGTACAGGGTGTCCCAAATTGGTTGTCCGTATAGGCATCTCAGTAAATATAAATGCTAGAAAAAATTCGACCACGCATCCCCGTCGTCTTTTTTAAAGATACATCGGTTGATGTCTTTGAATTTTCTCGATTAGCATTTGTTTAGGAGATATACCAATTTTTTCAATTTATACCAATTTTGACAAATGCTTGTAGCTTCGTTAATATTTGAGTTACGAATACAGATATAAAATATTATGTAGGCACTTTTTATCATAGAATTCAATAGTGTAGACAGATTTTTAGCTCTTTTAGGTTAAGAGATATGATCCTGAAAACTTTAAACATTATTAATGTTATACTGCAAGGTGCGTAGTCTGCTAAATTGATGCCGCGCGCTGCAGCGCTCCAAAATTTGGAGGAAGCTTTTATTTTGCCGCTCTAAAATTTGAAGGGACGAATAGGCATAGTTTGTTGATGTCATGTTTTGAATTCAAATAAAAACAAAGCATTCAAACCAATTCAGCCGAGCGTGGCTTCGACTGCAGTAAAAAATTAATAATGTTTAAAGTAATACCGGACAGTGAAAAATTTTTTTTTGATATGAAACCTTAATATCCAGTACCTGTAACCATGAAAAAAAACTTGTATATTTGATAGAGACTTTATAAAAAATTTTAATTTTATATTTCAATTTTCAAAAAACTTAAAAAAAGTTTTTTATTTGTTTGTAAAAATACATATATGTCCTGAAAATTTCACTAATAATAATAATGTTTAAAGTAATACCGGACAGTAAAAATTTTTTTTTTATATGAAACCTTAATATCCAGTACCTGTAACCATGAAAAAAAACTTGATTATTTGATAGACTTTATAAAAAATTTTAATTTTATATTTCAATTTTCAAAAAACTTAAAAAAAAGTTTTTTATTTGTTTGTAAAAATACATATACTTATGTCCTGAAAATTTCACTAAGAAACTTTTAACAGTTTTTTCACAATTAATTTGAAAAAGAAAGTTTTTGGGTGTTTTTGGGCCAGTCTAGATGTCAATTCGGCCAATCTGACATAGCGGCCCACCGGGATCTGTCCCGGCGTCCCGCCGGAGCCCACCCGCCCCTGCTTTAAACGATAGACGGTAAAGATTATATATACAAAGTAAATTAAAGTCGGAAGCTAACGATTATAACGAATCCACGGTCTCCGGGTTGACACGCGTCTTTACCGTCTTAATGCCTGTTTAATAATGACCATCTCACCCCCTCAAGGGTTAGAACATTTCCATCTTTCTACATCTTTATCTCTACTTTTCCATGAGACCTTAGCAACGTTTGGTGATCGTTAGTCATTATAATGACTAACTTCACTAATGCATCCTTTTCAGACTGCAGACCTATATATCTATTTCTTAAGTCTAATTTATGATAAACAACCTGAGAACCCATTCCTAATTTTACCAAATTGTTATTTTAATAAACACGCTAATCAAATCAATGTCTCCGACATATACATACACGTTCTTGTTTTTTCTACCGTTGAGACGAGACTTACTTAATCAAGGCTTTTAATAATGCACTCTGTTTGATTTTAGACGACTTATTTGTTTTATAATTTATACTGAATTAGAATGTCTACAATTTTCACGTAAATTATTACTAAAATGTGCTTTTATAATAAAAGTTTTATTGTATTTAATAGGGTACAATTTATATTTACAGGGACTGTATGCAATTTATTTTTTCATTCGGATTTTCACTGGTTATTTGGAAACCAACACAACAAATCGTTCCACGTTTTTTTCTCGATTTTTTTTTAAATATTTTCTCACAAGCAACATTTTGTGCAAATGCAAAAATGCATTAACTTCAGTGTTTTTTTAAGAAAAAAATGTTTTTGAAATTTTTTTACTCACAGCGACCATAAGAAAAATCATTATTTCCTTGGGAAAAACTTGTGCACAATTTTGTACAGCATTATATTAGCTGTAACTATGTATGTTAACACATCTACACGAAAAAAATAATAATATATACAAGGTGTCAATTTTAATTCTTATAATACAATTTATTTTATTTAATAATAATTATTGTGTTTTTTGTGATTACCAATATCTATCCTATAAAGGAATAAATAATTAATTAATATTTATAATTTTAAATTTGTGATTTAAAAAGTGTGGAAATTTATTTTTAACGTTTTACATTTATAAATATAGGTATTTATACAGTGAAAAATTCTAGGAAGGAATTATTATTACATTAAAGCCCTTAAATAGGGTTGGGACATGCAATTTTT